AAAACACACCGAAGGACGTGCAAAGAAGCATTCTCCAAAAAGCGGATCCGATAGCACTGAAGAACGGAGGAACAATAACCACAGAGGCAACGAATCAATGAACCTGCACCACGCTCTACAAAACCTCTATTCCTCAAAGGCACAGGTAAACCAGAGGTTGCCATACGCGGCCCTGGAAACCGTTCCTGATGTCACGCATGAAGAAGCAGAGTGGGATAAAGAATATCAACAGTGGCAGATGTTTTGGCAAAGAAGGCATAAAACCGAAACATCTCAACTCAGGTAGAAAGACTGTGCTCAAAACCCTTGTCAAACCAAATGTAGAACAAATGAAGCTTAAGAAGATGCCAGAAGCATGAAACTGCTATTCGACAAATCTTCTGTTCAAGAAGGGTGATTCAGAAAAAAATACTCAGAAAAATTATCGACCTATCACTTATGTCACAACTCTAAAAGGTATTTTTCCAAATCACCTCCATCCACATCTGCAAAGTCGCAGAAATGCTCGCCAGTAAAGAACAATGCGGTTAACGTCTTAAGTTAACAGAAAAGGACAGGTATACTTATTTCATCTCCACTGCGCATCCATCAAATTGAATGCTATGCTGAATACCTTGCACGACCGTGGTATCAACGACGTCTTCGTCACCCTCATGAAGGAATTTACTATTGACATCGCAACCAACATCATGTTGTTCCAGGAACCGTAACGAATCAACATCAAACGAGGAGTACTTTAGAGAAGTCCCTGTAATCCCTCTTGAACTTTTTGAAATTAGGCAGCAGTATTAACATCGACCGAAAAAGGCTCAAGCATATGCTCCTTGCAAAAGATCCGGCAAAACTCAAAACAAACACTGTGCAACTGCAGGAGTCCCCCGTTAATGGACTGGAGATGACTACTTCCACGACACACTGGATGGATACAAGTACTGTGCGTGAGTACCTCGTTGAGTAATGGCAAAAAAGAGGAAAACGACGATAGCTATGTATCCCTTCGTCACGTAATTAAATCAAATAGCAGCATCAGCGTTAAGGTCAGCAAAGGGAAGGTGTGATGGGTAAATTCCCATTATATCAAAACATCGTTGCTGGATAATGAACTGTCCATGGCTACGAAAAAGGAACTGTTCGACCAGCCACAATTTATGGTCGTCCATCACCAAAGCTCAGGAAAAGTAACGTATGGGCGATGGAGACTGGAAAATATAAGTATATTCTGGTCGAGAACGTATTCCAAGTGCAATAATTCAGTGTCGGATACGACTTTTGGATGTATTCTCTGCTGCCTACAACTCGAGGAAACGATGCGCTGGCCATGTGGCTTGTCTAAAGGACAAACCGTGAAGATAACAGGGCGAGTAACCCACTGGATAGAAGTCGGCAACGGGTGTCCAATCGGTCCCTGTCAACAACGGAGGGGAGGGGCACAATACCAACGAGAGTACCGGAACGATATCCTGCGTCCGGCACGGCTGCCGACAAAAATCGATTGGATGGTAAACTAGAAAAACTGTGTTTAAATCATAAGTTGAATTATACCAAACAACTTTACGAAACACTGATACTACATCTAGTCCTGAAATGAATAATGTAACATGGTGCTCATCTGAAAACCTATTTACAAGCATGTGAGATTATTACTCATATGTTGAAAGATGACAGT